TGGCCTTCAACTTCCAGAAATCCTAACAGCTGGTAAACTGGCTGGGATGTCTGGAAGTTGTAGGCCAAAACACCTGGGGACCCACAAGTCGAGAACCACTGCTCTAGTCCCATAACTACCATAACTACCAACCCCAGGATTCCATATGACGGTTGTGGTAGCAAAAGTGGTGCCAAAGTGGTCTACTTCTGCAGCGTGGAAGAGAGATCTCTGCCTTCCAGCATGCAGTAATGCAGGAACCTGAGGATTTGTGCAAGGCAGTGAGTCATTCGGGCAACCTCTCCTGTCTGCCAGTGGTTGTAAAAGGCAACCTATTGTTCAGGTTCTCATTTTACTGAGTGAGTCAGGAACAAATGGATTTGCCTTCTGCAGAAGAGAGATCCTGGAGGCGGAGCAGCCGATAGGGGAAGCCACTTGTGGCCGGTCTGTCAAGGGAACCCTGGAAAAGAAGGAAATAATTTGAAATGGAACCTGACCAGACTTTTCATAACCACAAGGAAATCCCTTCAATGACCGGGATTTGGATATCCACACAAGTCTGGTTGCTCCAGGGGATATCCCAACACAATTGCCTGGTCTGGTGCCAGAAAAGGACGATGTGGGTAGACCAGAAAGCTGGACCCCAGGATTTCATTTCCCCCTATTATAAATTTATTGGATTTCTATCCAAAAGAAGTGAGGATCATGTCTACCTGTTAGTGGGAAATTTGTAATAATCGATAAATAATCATCGGCAGTCAGATTAACAATACAGTAGACCAGGCATGGGCAAACTTGGGTCGTCCAGGTGTTTTGGACTCCAACTCCCACCATTCCTAACAGCCCCAGGCCCTTTCCTTTTCCCCCTCAGCCGTTAGGAATGGCGGGAGTTGGAGTCCAAAACACCTGAACAGCCCAAGTTTGCCCATGCTTGGTGTAGATCCATTCCTAGTTTGCTCATAACTTGGATTAGAACAAAGACAGATGGAAACCAAGAGGAGGACCAAGAATCAGCTTCAGGTGTTGTCCCAGTCCCAGACAAGGACCAGCCTGTTGTCACAATCACACACTTTAAGTCAGGGTTTCTCAACCTTTCCAATGTCGTGACTCCTTAATACAGTTCCTTATGTTGTGGTGAACCCCCAACCATAAAATTACTTTCATTGCTACTTCATAATGGTAATTTTGCTACTAGAATCATTGAGTTGGAAGAGATCTCATGAGCCATCCAGTCCAATCCCCCACCAAGAAGCAGGAATAATAATAATAATAATAACAACAACAACAACAACAACAACAATAATAATAATAGGTTGTTGTAGGTTTTTCTGGGCGATATGGCCATGTTCTGGAGGCCTCCAGAACATGGCCATAAAGCCTGGAAAAACCTACAACAACCCAGTGATTCCGGCCATGAAAGCCTTCGACAATACAATAATAATAATACTTTATTTATATACCGCTCCATCTCCCCGAGGGGACTCAGAGCGGTTCCCAGGTAACATCACAAAACATACAAAGTAAAAACAACATAACCATAAGATTAACAAAACAAAATATAAGCATAAAAATTGTTGCTATAACACACATATATTCTTGCTTATTCGCAGGAATATCGCATTCAGAGCACCCCCTACAGATGGCCATATTGTTATGAATCGTAATGGAAATATCTGTTATGCAGCATGTATTTTCATTCACTGGATGAAATTTGGCACAAATACCCGATACGCCCAAATTTGAATACTGGTGGGGTTTGGTGGGGGGATTGATTTTGTCATTTAGGAGTTGTAGTTGCTGGGATTTATAGTTCATTTACAATCAAAGAGTATTCTGAACTCCGCCAATGATGGAATTGAACCAAACTTGGCACACAGAACTCCCATGACCAAGAGAAAATACTGGCAGTGTTTGGTGGGCATTGATCACTGGCAGTGTTTGGTGGGCATTGAGTTTTGGAATTGTAGTTCACCTATATCCAGAGAGCACTGTGGACTCAAACAATGATGGCTCTGGACCAAACTGGGCACGAATACTCCATATGCCCAAATGTGAACATTGATGAGGTTTGGGGAAAATAGACCTTGACATTTGGGAGTTGTAGTTGCAGGGATTTATAGTTCATCTACAATCAAAGAGCATTCTGAACCCCACTTGGGCCCCCACACAGACCCCTCGCGGCCCTCCAAGATGTCCCAACACCCAGGTCAAGAAATGCTGCTTTAAGCAAAGGAAAACATACCATTATTGGAATGATCCTTTTCACACCTTGCCGCAAGTACGTAATACCTCCAGTTGGTTCCTGTGAATTTATGCGCAGTCTTTCAAACAGTCTCTATCCATCTTTTCCTATTTCCCTGTTTTTTTTTTATTTTCCTGCATTCATCACCAAATTTTCCTCCACTTCGCAATGTCAGGACTGCAACAGAAGGATATTATTGCACAGGAAAGATTGATGGAACAGCGATATTGAATTTATTCATGGGTTTTCCTGCCAATGGACAGCTGCCAATGATCCAACTGTGATTCAAATATAGGAGAGACACAACATCGTATGGTAGGTAAGGCATTTCCTCCTGCTGTAATTGCCCTATTGCAACCTTGTGTGATAAAATCCTAAGAAAAGCCAGAGAAACTACGCTTGCTGTAAGAACGATCAATCTAAGGATGCTGAGTCTTAATGAAATAGTCCCATAAGGTGGTAGAGTTCAGAAAAAGTTGGACTGCAACACACAGAATCCACAGCCATTACGGGAAATCTGGTAAATGTTTTGTCAAAGGCTTTCATGGCCGGAATCACTGCGTTGCTGGGAGTTTTCTCTCCTGATGTTTTGCCTACATCTATGGCAGCCATTCTCAGAGGTCGTGAGGATGTGTGCCATAGATGTGGGTGAAACGTCAGGAGAGAATGCTTCTCAAACATGGCCACACAGCCCGGAAAACTCACATCAACCCAATCTGGTAAATGTGTAGTCCAAAAAGAAACCTTCTCAAGTTTTGTGTCTTTGCTTTGTCATCTAGCTCCTGCTCCTTTGCAAAACAAGGTATGGGACATTAAACAGAGCTTCCATGTTCGGGGGCAGGATACCTGCGAATATTGAGCAGCACCAAGTTGCAGAAGAGCATTTTGCCTTCCAAGATTTTCTTTGGTTTTGCCTTGCAGTAATGCCCATTGTTGGAGATTCAGCTGATCAATTTGGTCCTGAACCAACTTCTCTTCTCATATTATGTGAGGTACCACCTTGGGTGCCTCCAAATAAGAGGGCCTTCAAGATCAGAGGACTGCAGCATTGGATGGGATATGTAGTCCAAACCTCTACAAGGGCAGAATTTACAGGTAAATCTTTTCTAAAAGTTTTTATTGCAATCCATTGGTCCGGTTCACATGTCCTACAGTTTAAGAAAACAACTTTGCTGTGTCTTTTGCATCACAGACCTTCAGTCGTTTGAAGATGGGGGTTGTAGTCTTCTCTTCCTCAGGCCAAACATCAGCTGGGCTATACAGTACCTATATTAGTTGGAACATATATGGTTTAGTATTAGTACGTGTGAAAAGAACCTTGCAGTTCTTGCCGATCCAAGTTGGTCCCTGGTCAAAGTGGTTCCTGGTCAGATGGTCCCTGGTCAAGTAGCCCCTGGTCAAAGTGGTCCCTAGTCAAGTAGTCCCTGGTTAAAGTGGTCCCTGGTCAAAGTGGTCCCTAGTCAAGTAGTCCCTGGTTAAAGTGGTCCCTGGTCAAGTAGCCCCTGGTCAAAGTGGTCCCTGGTCAAGTGATCCCTGATCAAGATGGTCCCTGGTCAAGTGGTCCCTGGTCAAAGTGGTCCCTGATCAAAGTGGTCCCTGATCAAGTAGCCCCTGGTCAAAGTGGTTCCTGGTCAAGTAGTCCCCGGTCAAGTAGTCCCCTGGTCAAAGTGGTCCCTGGTCAAGTGGTGCCTGGTCAAAGTGGTCCCCGGTCAAGTTGCGTCTAGTCAAAGTGGTCCCTGGTCAAAGTGGTCCCTGGTCAAGTGGTCCCTGATCAAAGTGGTTCCTGGTCAAAGTGGTCCCTGGTCAAGTGGTTCCTGGTCAAAGTGATCCCTGGTCAAGTGGTCCCTGGTCAAAGTGGTCCCTGGTCATGTAGCCCCTGGTCAAAGTGATACTTGGTCAAGTGGTCCCTGGTCAAGTGGTCCCTGGTCAAGTAATCCCTGGTCAAGTGGTCCCTGGTCAAGTGGTTCCTAGCTAAAGTGGTCCCTGGTCAAGTGGTCCCTGGGGGGAAAAGGGTTGGGAACCACTGCTGTCTCTTGATTTCTTGACCCTTTACCACCTCGGTTTCCTTGTCTCCATAGATTCCAGTTTGTCACGATAAGATATACCTCTTACATCAAATACTGTCAATCACAAGATGAAAACCTCATTCAGAATCAATTTTGGGGAATTTCTGCTTGCATCGAGAATTTCTAGCTCTCGTCAAACGATCCATGAAAGGATATGCCAACATCAGGCCTATGTTTGGGATGCTTCTCATTGAAATTGGAACCTAGAAGCTTTATCACACCTTGTAGACAAAGGGCAGTCCTTATCTCATTGGACTGCAGTTCCCAGCAGCTCTAGACAGAATGCTGGGAATTGCAGTCCAGCACCCCATGCGTGAGGGCCACACATCATTCCTCAGTCAGATGGAGGAGCAAAGGAAGTTTACCAAAACAGGATAAATCCACTGATTCCAAGGCTGGTCTTTGAAAAAAGCCGTACTCCGGTGTAAAGGAGATGCCAGGATCGGTGCCATTTGGGACCACCTTCTCTAGCTCCCCACTTGACCTCTTCGTATTGCAAAATTCACCACCCGTGGGTGTTTTACAGGGCAAACGGAAAAGTAAATTGCTTCGCATAAAAGGAAAACGCATCCAGGGAAAAAAGTAGCCACAACTTTGCATCGCATGCAGATCAGTGGAACTTTGCCGGCGATAAAAATGGGAATCCCGAAGGTTGAAGCAGCAGGTAGTCCCCGGCATCGGACAGAGACAGGTGCCCTGAGAGAGACGCCAAGATGAACCAAATCCTATCGGTGAGTCCCAAAAACTCTGTTTTTTTCCCTCAGCAGAGGATGGAGGGTAGAATTTGGGAGGTGAGATTGAAGATCAAGTCTATGGCAGGCAATGGCTTCTGTGTCAATGGAGCAACAAATCTGCTTCGGATTGTAGCCCAGGGATGGACCAACTTTGACCCTCCAGGTGTTTTGGACTTCAACTCCCACAATCCCTAACAGCTGGTAGGCTGTTAGGGATTGTGGGAGTTGAGGTCCAAAACACCTGGAGGGCCCAAGTTTGCCCATACTTCTTGTAGCCTCAATCTTACGAGAATCATCCAAGGTGCTGAATCTGTTGGAAGTTCGGACTAAAATCCGGAGCCACTTTCTGGCAGGGTTCCATTTGGATCCTTCCTCTGACTCAGGACTGCGGTCGGTCTTCCACATTTGTGAGTTTCACTTTGGCAGACTTGATTCTGTTCTAGTACAGGTCTGTTGGTCAAACTCCATCAGAAGCTGATCATAGTGTTGTCCTGGAGAACCTAGAGGTTCCTATAGAGCAGTGGTTTTCAACCTGTGGGTCCCAGATGTTTTGGCCTTCAACTCCCAGAAATCTTAACAGCTGGTAAACTGGCTGAGACATCTGGGAGTTGTAGACCAAAACACTTGGGGACCCACAGGTTGAGAACCACTGCTATAGAGAACACCTTTGGGGGGCATTTGTAGGTTCTCCGGTGCAATTCTATAGTCAACTTCCAGAAGAGGTGGCCCATAGAGCAGTCATGGGCAAACTTTGGCCCTCCAGGTGTTTTGGACTCTAGCTTCCACAATTCCTAACAGGTGATAGGCTGGGTTGTTGTATGCTTTTTCGGGCTATATGGCTATGTTCTAGAGGCATTCTCTCCTGACCTTTTGCCTGCATCTGTGGCAAGTATCCTCAGAGGTAGTGAGGTCACTACCTCTGAGGATGCTTGCCATAGATGCAGGTGAAACGTCAGGAGAGAATGCCTCTAGAACATGGCCATATAGCCTGAAAAAATCTACAACAATCCAGTAATTCCAGCCATGCAAGTCTTCGACAATACAGCTGCCAGGCTGTTAGGAATTGTGGGAGTTGAAGTATAAAACACCTGGAGGGGCAAGGTTTGCCCATGCCTGCCATAAAGTCATGCTTGAGGACCTAGATTCCTAAAAAGACAAACTTTTCCCATGTTTTTTTAGGACAGAACCAATTAGGAAATGACAGTGTACTCTACTTTGTGGAGGTTGGCTCTGCATCTCGTGGTGCCCGAGCGCAGTCTCTTCAGCGCCTTCCAAGTTGCCCTTGTCTTCTGTGTGCCCAGGAGGGAGTCTTTCATTTGGTATGAGCCATGGATTGAGGTTCGGGGTTTTAGCCTGCCACTTTTGGACTCTTGCTTGCTGAGGTTTTTCTAGGTCAGTGGTTCTCAACCTGGAGTTCCCAGATGTTTTTGGCCTTCAACTCCCAGAAATCCTAACAGCTGGTAAACTGGCTGGGATTTCTGGGAGTTGTAGGCCAAAACATCTGGGGACCCACAGGTTGAGAACCACTGCTGTAGATCTTAGAAAACTATTTCTTGATTTAAGTCGTTGACGTGCTGGCTGGCACCCAAACAGGGGCAGGAGATGTCACTGCCTTGGTCCTTTCCTTATTGGCTGCTACTTCCCAGTGGATGTCAGGTGGTGCAATACCGGCTAAACAGTGTAATTTCTCCAGTGGTGCAGGGCGCAGACATCCTGTGATAATGTGGCATGTCTCATTAAGAGCCACATCCACTGTTTTAATGTGGTGAGATGTGTTCCACACTGGGCATGCGTACTCAGCAGCAGAGTAGCAAAGCACAAGGGCAGGTGTCTTCACTGTGTCTGGTTGTGATCCCCAGGTTGTGCCAGTCAGCTTTCATATAATGTTGTTTCTAGCACTCACTTTTTGATTGATATTCAAACTGTGCTTCTTCAAAACATGGTCCAGGGTAACTCCCAGGTATTTCGGTATGCTGCAATGCTCCAGTGGGGTGTCTTCCTAGATAATTCTCAGAGCACGAGATGCTTGTCTGTTCTTAAGATGAAAAGCACATGTCTATGTTTTAGATGGATTAGGAATGAGTTGGTTTCCCCTGTAATAGGCAGTAAGACCACCTAAAGCTTTGGAGAGCTTCTGTTCAACCACCTCAAAGCTCCCTGCTTGAGCGGTGATGGCACGATCGTCAGCATAGATAAATTATTTGTCCCTTCTGGCAGTGGCTGATTTCAGAGCTCAGAGATGTTATTGTTTTGTATGATAGGAAGTTAAACTAGTTAGTAGCTGGTCTTTGTGCTCTTTTCTGAGTCAAACTATAGAGCTCAAGAGATCAAAGTAAACATATGCTAGGATATTTAGATAGCTTTCACTGGGGTTATAGAATTATAATGCTAGGGACACTAGAGCCCAGTTCTATTAGCTTATAATTGGAATATGATAATTTTGTTCATTCCAATGTTAAAAGATAATAAAGCAGACACGAGCAAACTTTGGCCTTCCCGTTGTTAGGAATGATGGGAGTTGAAGTCCAAAACATCTGAAGAGCCAAAGTTTGCCCATGCCTGTAATAAAGCAATAAGTGGTGACTGGAGATTCTGAAAGTTGCATTCTTACATAATTTTCAGCAAACCTCACCTTTTCTATCCTCTTGTTCTTTTCTCATAGGTCGTGATCTCTATCCTCTTAATGTTTCCGACACCAGAAGCCATGGATTGCTTTTCAGCATCACGTTGTTGCAGAGAGAGCGAATTCGAACATTTGAAAGAACATGCCCAGAAGACAACCAGGCACATCCGGTCATTGGCTTCTTTCAATGAATGCCAGGCCTCTTCCGAAGGATCACAAAGGGAACGCTCCATTTCCCCATGGCACTATGTGTAAGTAGGCTTTTTGTGGACATCTTCCTTAAGTACAAAAATACAGAATGGGGGACAATGCCTGGCTCGAGAGCAGTACGTGTGAAAAAGATCTTGGAGTCCTCGTGGACAACAAGTTAAACATGAGCCAGGAATGTGATGTGGCGGCAAAAAAAGCCAATGGGATTTTGGCCTGCATCAAGAGGAGCCTAGTGTCTAGATCTAAGGAAGTAATGCTACCCCTCTATTCCGCTTTGGTTAGACCACACCTGGAATATTGTGTCCAATTCTGGGCACCACAATTCAAGAGAGATATTGACAAGCTGGAATGTGTCCAGAGGAGGGCGACTCAAATGATCAAGGGTCTGGAGAACAAGCCCTATGAGGAGCGGCTTAAGAGCTGGGCATGTTTAGCCTGAAAAGAGAAGGCTGAGAGGAGATGATAGCCATGTATAAATATGTGAGAGGAAGCCACAGGGAGGAGGGAGCAAGCTTGTTTTCTGCTTCCTTGGAGACTAGGACGCGGAACAATGGCTTCAAACTACAAGAAAGGAGATTCCATCTGAACATGAGGAAGAACTTCCTGACTGTGAGAGCCATTCAGGAGTAACTCTCTGCCCCGGAGTGTGATGGAGGCTCCTTCTTTGGAAGCTTTTAAACAGAAGCTGGATGGTGACCAGGGGAGCATTCGCACAGTTAAAACTTGTGCGCCAGCTGTGCCCATACCTTGGGAAGTCTGACTTGGCCACGGTAGTCCACGCTCTGGTTACATCCCGTATAGACTACTGCAACGCTCTCTACGTGGGGTTGCCTCTGAAGACTGCTCGGAAGCTACAAATGGTCCAACGATCGGCAGCCAGGTTGTTAACAGGAGCGGCTCTCAGGGAGCATGCAACCTCTGTTGCGCCAGCTCCACTGGCTGCCAATTTGCTACCGGGCACAATTCAAAGTGCTGGCTTTAGCCTTTAAAGCCCTAAACGGTTCTGGCCCGAACTATCTGTCCGAATGCATCACCCCCTATGAACCTGTTAGGACATTAAGATCGTCCGGGGAGGCCCTGCTCTCGATCCCGCCAGCCTCACAAGCACGGCTGGTGGGGACGAGAGGCAGGGCCTTCTCAGTGGTGGCCCCTCGGCTGTGGAATGCCCTTCCCGCAGACGTTAGATCGGCCCCCTCCCTGCTGGCATTCAGGAGAAGAGTAAAGACCTGGCTCTTTGAACAGGCGTTTAATTAAGCAGTGCAACCAATTGATTGATCTTGGAACTTGGAATAATGGACGAGGAAATTCGGATTATGACTTTATTGATGAGACGTGATGGATTAGTTATATGGATGTATTGATGTTATATTGATGTATTGATGTATTGTTATATTGATGTAGTTGCCTTAGTTACTGTTTTAAATGCTAATGTTGTGCACTTTGTATATTGACCTGGCTGTAAACCGCACTGAGTCGCCTACGGGCTGAGAGAGTGCGGTATACAAATAAAGTAAGTAAATAAATAAATAGAGGCTGGATGGCCATCTGTCAGGGATGATTTGAATGCAATATTCCTGCTTCTTGGCAGAATGGGGTTGGACTGGATGGCCCATGAGGTCTCTTCCAACTCTTTGATTCTATGATTCTATGATATGTCTCACCTAAACATATCTTCCTTCTGTTGCTTCCTCCAGAAAAGACGAGGAATCTGGCCGCTACCCACAAACCATCTGGAATGCTCGATGCAACTGCCGTTCAACTTGTGTCTCCTGGAAGTCCTGTGTGAAACAAGGCAGCAAAAATATCTACACCAGGCAGGTCCACCATGGAAACTCCATCGAAGTTCCACACGACATCCTCGTCTTTTACCGGAGACCTTGTCCTGGGGATAATACGAAAACACTCTTCTACCTGCAGACAGCTGTGTACAGGATGAATGTGTCTTGCACATGCGTGGTACCAAAGAGCAGCATATGTGTGTCATTAGAAACGGCACCACCACTCAGGCTTCCCATACACAAGCGAGGTGTGTAAAGTCAACTCTCCTATCTCTCTCTTGTCATCCTCATTATCTCGCTACATCCACCTATTCTGCCAAATGTTGGTGGCCAACTTTTTCTTTTCCAATGCTCCCATGCCTTTGAATTTGTATGGCAACGGAAGGGGGAAATAGTAAACGAAATGCCCATTCTCTCTGGTCATACTCACTTTCCGATGCTGTAGGATGCATAATAATGATAATATATATACAGTGGGTTAAAGTGCTGAGCTGCTGAGCTTGTTGACCGAAAGGTCGCAGGTTCGATTCCAGGGAGCGGCATAAGCTTCTGCTATCAGCCCTAGCTTCTGCCAACCTAGCAGTTTGAAAGCATGCAAATGTGAGTAGATCAATAGGTACCGCTCCAGCGGGAAGGTAACGGTGTTCCATGCAGTCATATTGCCACATGACCTTGGAGGTGTCTATGGACAACGCCAGCTCTTTGGCTTAGAAATGGAGATGAGCACCACACCTCAGAGCAGCGGCAGCAAAATCCCACAAAACAGCAAAAATTACTATGATATATATTTTAAATTATTTTTTTTTTAAATCCGCGAAACAGCGAGTCCGCAATAAGTGAACTGTGATGTACCAAGGGAACACTGTATATACTTTATTTATATTCCGCTCTATCTCCCCGAGGGGACTCTGGGCAGATTACAGAACACACCTACGGCAAGCATTCAATGCCGTTATACAATTAACAAGAACAGACAATACACAAACAGAGATAAAGGCATTTCCCATCTTATTTCCGGCATCTTGGAGGTTGTGCTCGACTCCGGCCACATGGAGGTGCTGTTGCACCATTTTCCATGCTGAGGTGCTTTTGCCTTCCTTAGAAGTCCTCCCAATCGATGTCCTTAAGGGCACTTCCCTGCTAAAAGCGGTACCTATTTATCTACTCGCATTTCTGCTTTCAGTCTGCTATTCTGCTTTGGTTAGACCACACCTGGAATATTGTGTCCAATTCTGGGCAACACAATTGAAAAGAGATATTGACAAGCTGGAATGTGTCTAAAATGATCAAGGGTCTGGAAAAGAACTGACAACGACTCTAAGATCTGTCTGATTGAGTGAGGGGCAAAAGGAATGGGGAGGAAATGTCAAATCTTGTGTATGAATTGCTACAGAATGTATGGACTGCTGCAGAAAATGTTCTGAGAGATTGCCCTTTGCACCCCGTATGGAATACTTCTTCTGTTTAGCTTTTTCTGAAAGAGTTACAATGCTGATACTATTTATTTTTGTTGTATTTAAGTGTTCAAATTCAATAAATATTTTGAAAGAACAACAATATGTCAAGTCTCCTGTACTCAAGCCCACTTGTTCCTTTCCAATGTGACTGAATGGAGTGCTTCCTTAAGCACATCCTGGACCACAACGCACATCATCCTCAGTCATCCCAGCAGAATATGATGAGGATTATGACAATAATCCCAGTGGGTTAAACTGCTGAGCTGCTGAACATGCTGACCGAAAGGTTGGCTGTTCAAATCTGGGTAGCGGGGTGAGCTCCTGCTGTTAGACCCAGCTTCTGCCAACCTAGCAAATGTTAGTAGATCTCATGGGTTTTGGGGGTGTGTGATTGATTTTGTCATTTGGGAGTTGTAGTTGCTGGGATTTATAGTTCACCTACAATCAAAGAGTATCCTAAACTCCACCAAGAATGGGATTGAACCAATCTTGGCACTCAGAATTCCCATGACCAACAGAAAATATTGGAAGGGTTTGGTGGGCATTGGCCTTCAGTTTGGGATTTATAGTTCACCTACATCCAGAGAGCACTGTGGATTCAAACAATTCTGGATCTGGACCACACTTGGCATGAATACTCAATATGCCCAAATGTGAATATTGGCTGAATTTAGAGAAAATAGATTTTGAAATTTGGGAGTTGTAGTTGCTGGTATTTATAGTTCACCTACAATCAAAGAGTATCCTAAACTCCACCAACAATGGGATTGAACCAATCTTGGCACTCAGAATTCCCATGACCAACAGAAAATACCTGAAGGGTTTGGTGGGCGTTGACCTTGAGTTTGGGATTTGTAGTTCACCTACATCCAGAGAGCACTGTGGACTCAAATAATGATGGCTCTGGACCAAACTTGGCATGAATACTCAATATGCCCAAACGTGAACATTGGTTGAGTTTAGGGGAAATAGATCTTGACATTTGGGAGTTATAGTTCACCTACAATCAAAGATAGAGCCCCCGGTGGCACAGCGGGTTAAACCGCTGAGCTGCTGAATTTGTTGACCAAAAGGTTGGCAGTTCAAATCCAGGGAGCAGGGTGAGCTCCCACTGTTAGGCCCAGCTTCTGCCAAACTAGCAGTTTGAAAACATGCAAATGTGAGTAGATCAATAGGTACTGCTTTTGTGGGAAGGTAGCAGTGCTCCATGCAGTCATGCCGGCCACATGACCTTGAAGGTGTCTATGGACAAAGCTGGCTCTTCAGCTTAGAAATGGAGATGAGCACCAACCCCCCAGAGTTGTACACAACGACTAGTTTTAATGCCAAGGGGAAAACTTTACCTTTATCTTTATGACATTTTTTTCATTCATATCATATCTCACTTTTTTCACAATTGGGACTCATCTGGTAAACATGCTTATAAAGACTTAAGTACTTATGCCTCAACAAACTACAAGTCCTACAATTACGTTGTATTAAGTCTACACTGGGGACACACCCCAAGATATCCCATTATGAACATGCAAATATTTCAAAATCCAACAAAAATCCCAAATCGCAAACATTTTCAAGTTTTTCTGATAAAGAAGGGTCTTGAACTATCCATAAAACTGACATTTCAAATACAAACATAAAAGACCAAAGTTGCTCTGATGAAAGCATTTGCAGTCAGTTCCTAAAAGCCCCTCTGAGCAGAAAAAGTTTCACTTGAGGATGAAAAGAGAGTGATGGGAGTTGCAATCCAGTCCTTTGGCAATGCTATTCGGTGATAAAAGGAGAGTGATGGGAGTTGTAGTCTAGGACCTTTGGGCTGCATGCCTTTGACGAAAAGTGAGTGATTGGACTTGTAGTCCTGGACTTTCATATTGTTAGCTGGTGTTGAAAGCAGAGTGATAGAAGCTGTAGTCCTGACTTTCATGTTAGTGGGTGATGAAAGAGAGTGATGGGAGTTGTAGTTTTGGCTTTTTTCACTGCTAGTGGAGTAGGAAAGGGGAGCAATGGGATTTGTAGTTCTGGAATTTCACATTGTTAGTGAGAGATGAAAGGAGAGTGATGAGAGTTGTAGTTTTGATCTTTTGCACTTCTAGTGGAGTATGAAAAGGGAGTGATGGGATTTGTATTTCTGCAATTTCATGTTGGGTGATGAAAGGAGAGTGATAGGAGTTGTAGTTTGGGCTTTTGTACTGCTAGTGATGAAAGGGGAGTGATGGGATTTGTAATCCTGGAATTTCATATTGTTAGTGAGTGATGAAAGGACAGTGATGGGAACTGTACTTCGGGCCTTTTGCACTGCTAGCAGAAAATGAATGGGGAGTGATGGGATTTGTAGTCCTGGAATTTCACATTGTTAGTGAGTGATGAGAGGACAGTGATGAGAATTGTAGTTGGGACCTTTTGCAGTGCTAGTGGAGTATGAAAGGGGAATGATGGGATTTGTAATCCTGGAACTTTACGTTGTTTGTGAGTGATTAAAGGACAATGATGGGAGTTGAAGTTTAGGCCTTTTGCACTTCTAGTGGAAAATAAATGGGATTGGATTTGTAGTTCTGGAATGTCAAGTTGCTAGTGAGTGATGAAAGGACAGTGATGGGAGTTGTAGTTTGGGCCTTTTGCACTGCTAGGTGAAAATGAATGGTGAGTGATGGGATTTCTAGTCCTGGAATTTCACATTGTTAGTGAGTGATGAGAGGACATTGATGGGAATTGTAGTCTGGGCCTTTTGCACTGCTCATGGAGTGTGAAAGGGGAGCAATGGGGTTTGTAGTCCCGGAATTTCACATTGATGGAGGATGAATGTAGAGTGATGGGGATTGTAGTGCAGTAGTTTTGAGCTGCCAATGGGTGATGCTGGTCTGTTGGCCTCTCTGCTCTTGATTGCCCCCCGCTGGCTTTGTTGGGCTTTACACGCCCAGTCCTTTCTCCTCTCCTCCTCCTACGCTCATCCTGGACCAAATGAATTGGGCCCTCTAGAGAATGTGTCCCATTCTCCCTTCCCTCTTCCCGCCTTTGGCCTCCTGGTCCTCCAGACAATCCGGACCTTGTTCTCCTGGGGCCGTCCGCTCCTGGCCCTGGGGAACAATCCCGCATTGTCCCTTCGAGGGAGGTTGGGATGCCAGAGCCAAAGGGCAGGTGGGCACAGAGCGTGGAGAGAGTGGGGACAGATGTGTGGTGGGAGACCCCAAGCATTCCCTTCCCACTCTGGGCAAGACCCACAACCTCTGCCTTCAGAACCCTCTTTTCCAGGGCCTCCCACCCTTGCCCATTTTTGGGTTTTCTCACAGACCCTTTCACCGCCACCCCCTTCTCTTTTTCTCTCCCCCTCCCCAAAAAACTTTGGTTTCCTCTCCTCCGCCTTATGCGTGGAAACCGGGCCGGGTGCCAGGTGGACGGGGAAGAACAGACACCCCCTTTCATCTCCTCTTGGGCCTTTTTTTTCCTTTCCCGCTTCCTCCCACCCTCCGCTTCCACCATCCATCCTTCCCAACAGCAGCAGCAGCAGGAGCACAGAGGAGGCAGGATGGGGGAGCACGAAGACCCGGCCGGGGGGCTGCAAGGCTTCGCCCTAGACAAGGAGTTCCTGACTTCCCCCAAGGGGATCCTCATGGAGGCAGAGCTGGTAACAAGAACCCTCCTCTTCTTCCCCTCCGCTCTCCAGACCCCAAAGTGCTCCATCTCTCACTCTTTCCACTCCAACTTCTCCTCTCCATCTCTCGCTTTTCCATCCATCCTTTCCTCTCTCAGCTCCATCTCATTCTCAAGTCTATCTTTGCATCCAATACTGTGTTCGGTGTTATATTGCTCTACTCATTTTTCATCCAGACCCATAACTTCTCCATCTTTCTCATTCACTCACTCTTTCCACTTTCCTGTCTCTGTCTCTTGTTTTTCCATCTATTCCTTTCTCTCTTGGCTCCATCTCATCACAAAATATTTCTTTGCCTCCTGTATTGTGTTCAGTATTATATTCCTCTACTCATTTTTCATCCAAGTCCATAACTACTCCATCTCTATCAGCCTCTCACTCTTTTCCCTCTCTATATCTCACTTTTCCATCCATCCTTTCCTCTCTCGGCTACATCTCATTCTCAACTCTCTCTTTGCATCCTATATTGCATTCAGTATTATATTCTCTCATCATTTTTCATCCAGACCCATAACTTCTCCATCTCTCTCTCTCTCACACTCACTCACTCTTTCCACTTTCCTGTCTCTCATGTTTCCATCCATCTCTTCCTCTCTCAGCTCCATCTCATTCTCAACTCTCTCTTTGCATCCAATACTGCGTTCGGTATTATATCGCTCTACTCATTTTTCATTCAGACCCATAACTTCTCCATCTCTCTCTCTCTCACTCACTCACTCTTTCCACTTTCCTGTCTCCATCTCTCGCTTTCCCATCTATTCCTTACTCTCTTGGCTCCATCTCATCGTAAAATATCTCTTTGCCTCCTATATTGCGTTCAGTATTATATTCCTCTACTCATTTTTCATCCAGATCCATAACTTCTCTATCTCTATCAGTCTCTCACTCTTTCCATCTCTCACTTTTCCATCCATCCTTTCCTCTCTCAGCTCCATCTCATTCTCAACTCTCTCTTTGCATCCTATATTGCATTCGGTATTATATTCCTCTACTCATTTTTCATCCAGACCCATAACTTAACCATCTCTCTCACTCACTCTTTCCACTTTCCTGTCTCCGTCTCTCATGTTGCCATCCATCTTTTCCTCTCTCAGTTCCATCTCATTCTCAACTTTCTCTTTGCATCCTGTATAGCCTTCGGTATTATATTCCTCAACTCACTTTTCATCTAGATTCTTCAGCTCTCCATCCATTTCTCTCTCTCACTTGTTCCACTCCACTTTCCTCTCTCAGTCTCTCACTTTTCCATTCATCCGTTCCTCCATCCCTTACATCTCTTCCTCAAGTCTCTCTTTGTATCCAAAATTGCACTCAATATTATATTCTTCTGTTTACTTTTCATCTAGACCCATAACTTCTCCATCTCTCTCACTCACTCACTTTCCTGTCTCCATCTCTCGCTTTTCCATTTATCCATTCCTCCATCCATTCCACCTCTTCCCCAAGTCTCACTTGACATCCTATGTTGCATTCAATATTACATTCCTCTTCTCACTTTTGATCTAGATGCCTGACCTCTCCATCCATCCATCTCGCTCTCACACTTGTTCCACTCCACTTTCCTCTCTCAATCTCTCAATTCATCCGTTCCTCCATCCCTTACACTTCTTCCTCATGTCTCTTTGCGTCTGATATTGCATTCAATATTATATTCGTCTACTCACTTTTCATCCAAACCCATAATTTCTCCATCTCTCTCACTCACTCACTTTCCACTTTCCTGTCTCCATCTCTCGCTTTTCCATCCATCCGTTTCTCCATCCCTTTCACCTCTTCCTCAAGTCTTTCTTTATATCCTATATTGGATTCAATATTATATTCCTCAACTCATTTTTCATCCAGATCCATAACTACTCCATCTCTATCAGTCTCTCACCTCTCTATCTCTCACTTTTCCATCCATCCTTTCCTCTCTTGGCTCCATCTTATTCTCAACTCTCTCTTTGCATCCTATATTGCATTCAGTATTATATTCTTCTACTCATTGCGTGTGCACGGGCGATACACCTCCCCTCGCCAACCCAATAAAAACCACTCACACAAGGTATTGGGATAAACAATGGCCACAACTCATTTATTGATAACAGGAACAAGGGTTGGCAGCCATGCATGGGTCCTGGATCAAGATCGGGCAGCCCACTGCTGTCCGATACCGCAAGCCACACAGGGGTGCCACCGGCACAATACCGGGCCCAATGCACTCGGCACCCCTGAGACACCAGGCGTTCCCCCTTCACCGCTGAGGGGGGGATACCAAACCGGATCCAGGGCCCATGCCCACGCCAACCAGAGTTGTGACGAAACGCATGAACAACAGCAAGAACAGGTAACTGTGACAACTGACAAAACAATCTAACAACAAACAGTTCCCGGAACCATGCAGGGTGGGTGGGAGGATCAGCTGCTGCCGGCCCAGAGACTGATGGTGGGCACAAGGGCAGCCTTAAGTAGGGTGCCCACGAGGGAGGAGAGGCCAGCTGTGGGCTCTCCTGCCAGGAGGCGTGGCCGGCAGCTGATAGGGCCACCTTATCTAAACCGCGGGAACTTTCCCGCTGGGTGAGGGGGCTTCTGGGAAGAAGAAGCCCCCCTCAGGCCAAATGGCGGGGGGGGGGGAACACCCCACACCGCAACCTCCACGGCCTGGTAAGTCAGGCCATGCCATTTTTTCATCCAGACCCATAACTTATCCATCTCTCTCACTCACTTTCTACTTTCCTGTCTCCATCTCTCATGTTTCCATCCATCCCTTCCAATCTCAGCTCCATCTCATTCTCAACTCTCTCTTTGCAACCTATATTGCATTCAATATTATATTCCTCAATTCACTTTTCATCTAGATACCTTACGTCTCCATCCATCTATACTAGGCATGAGCCACCTTGGCCCTCCAGGGGTTTTGGACTTCAACTTCCACAATTCCCAACAGCCTTGGGCCCTTTCCTTTTCCTCCTCAGCCACTTAAGCAGCTGAGGGGGAAAAGGAAGGGGCCTGGGGCTGTTAGGAATTGTGGGAGTTGAAATCCAAAACCACTGGAGGGCCAAGTTGCCCCATGCCTAATCTATACTGTCAAAGTAATGCAATCTGATCCCACTTGGCTCAATGTTATGGAATCTTGGGTTTTTTAATTTAACACAGTCTTTAGCCATTTCTAGCCCCTGGTGGCGCAGTGGGTTAAAGCACTGAGCTGCTGAGCTTGTTGATCGAAAGGTCGCAGGTTCGATTCCGGGGAGCGGCGTGAGCTTCCGCTGTCAGCCCTAGCTTCTGCCAACCTAGCAGTTCAAAAACATGCAAATGTGAGTAGATCAATAGGTACCGGGAAGGTAACGGCGCTCCATGCAGTCATGCCGGCCACATGACCTTGGGGGTGTCTACGGACAACGCTGGCTTTTCGGCTTAGAAATGGAGATGAGCACCACACCCCAGAGTCAGACATGACTGGACTTAATGTCAGGGGACTACCTTTACCTTTACCTTAGCCATTTCTGCCAAAGAATGCTGTGTCTCACTACGGATCCCAGGATTCTATAGCACTAAGCCACGGCTGTTAACGTGATGTCAGACCGCATCAATTCTTCAATGTAGACTGACATAACTGTTGCACAAACAGAGATCAGATGACAATTGGGACACTTGTTGACAGTCAGAACACCTAGGAAAGAGGAATAGGTGTGTGTCTCCCAATGGGCTGCAAACCTCATCTGTGTCTGTTATTGACTTATTTGATTTCTTCTTCTCCCGACCATTCTTTAGGGTCTCTGCTTTTTGGTGTTCTTACTCCTGACAGCGTCCATCTCGGCCTACATGGGGGCTGCTCTTCTGGAAGTGTTGGTGACATTGGCATTCCTGGCACTGCGAGCGACACACTACTACGAGAGGCTGACCAGAGTCAATTGGCCTTGTTTGGTGGGTGACTCTTTCTTTGCGATTTCCCACATCCCTTTGCACACTCTGTTGTAGATCAGCCAGAGGCTGATGGTTTGACTGATGATTTAGAGAGGATTGTGAGCTTTTCTGCGACACAAACTGATAGGACCTTAAGTCTGGGAAATTCAGGTCTGGGAAATGGTAGTTCTTTCTGTGAAGAAACTGGCTCGGAAAGTAAAGGACCTCAAGGCCAGTCAGGAGAGCCAGAAGTAGCAACAGCAGATAAGGAATCGAGTGAAGAGCTGAGTGATAAAGCGAGTTCCCAGGAGATACCACCTGTAGCTACGGAGATCAAACAAAAGTCTTTGTTTACAAATCAGAGCCAAAAATAGATTATGTTGTTCAGAGAGATTACAAGGGAAAGTTGTAGAGAAAATTCATGGGAGACGTAATTCTTTCATGAGTGTATATTAAACAGCATGTTTTTTTTCCTTAAGGGCAGTTCAGGCAACGTTGCGTTAGAATGAGAAGCTAAGCCTGAGTTCTCTGGTTCAAGTCAAGCCTTGGTTTTGGATTTTATATATATTGGGGGAGTTTTCTATTCTCCTGTATTTCTGTTCAAGCTTTTACTAGTCATACCTTCTTGATTGTGGAATTATGCTGATCCTGGGATTTCTGGCTGTTCCTGGGCTTTGTCACCTCTGGAACTTTATGACACATGTGGATTACTCTTTGTTATCACCTGTTACTACACCTTTTTGGATTATATATCTTCCTTTCTTATTCCTGAATTCATATATGCTTTTAATATGTTTTTACAATAAACTGTTTGGTTATATTCCTGGACTCTTGTGTGGTATGGTGGTGGTCACAGGTCTTTCCAGGCCTGGAGTGCAACACAGTCACAAATATATATAAATGTGTCTGTATCTCTTAAAAGGGGTTGGTTTAACAGAGGTTAACCCAGGCATGGGCAAACTTGGGCCCTCCCGGTGTTTTGGACTTCAACTCCCACAATTCCTAACAGCTGATAGGCCCAAGTTTGCCCATGCCTGGATTAACCTCTGGTTTGCTAGTAAAACTGAATTACTGTGTTGCAAAATGATGCATGTTTGTTTATAAAGGTGCATCACCAACATGAAATACTTGGAAAGCTCTGATTTATACTGTAGAATGAATGTAGTCTGGCACTACTTGAACTGCCATGGCCAAATGCTCTGGAATCCTGGGAGTTGTAGTTTTCAGAACCTTTGAAAAATTGTGATACTGAATGTCTCAGCATCCCAGCAACCATCCCCAATTCTGATGACCAATCTGATCTCCAATACAATTAATCCATCGGCGATCCTTGATCTCTCCTTCACAGGACTTCCTTCGCTGCGTCAGTGCTGCCATCGTCTTCACGGTCGTGGCCTTCGCTGTCATTGCTGCCAGTCATGAGGGATCTGCAGTCTCAGCCTTTGTAAGTTGCCACCTTGCTGTCCCCACCCCTTCCTTTATAGACCATGCCCACCATCAGAACGCCTCCTACTTTTGAGATTTGAGAGGAATCCATATGATGTGATGGTGGTGGTTAGATAGATGTAAACCAGGGTCAAACATGGAGAGTAAGAAAGATGAACATCTATCAACCTCATCCTCATCATCTCCATCTTTGCCCAATTAACATCCATCAACATCATCATCATCATCATCATCATCATCATCATCATCATCATCATCATCATATCTTCATCTTCTCCATCATCTCTACATACAATGCCATCATCATCCATGTGGTTTACAAGGAAAGAGCAACAAAGCTCTTCTGGAATCTAGTTATGATGTGACACAAAAGGAAAAGGGGGTGGCACCATAGGAGGAGATAAACTCTGGAAGACAGTGCCCTCTAAGGTGAGGGCAGTAGCAGTTGGGATGGTCAGAGGGCTTTTCTTCTGCTCCTGGGTCAAGACTTGATGGAGCTGTTGCCTTCTCCTTCTCTGAGTCCAGGGCAGTAGCTGTTGGGGTGGAATGAGGTCCATTTGTCCACTTTTGGGCCTAGACTCAATGGAATTGTGCCTGCTTCTCCTCCTCCATAGTCAGGGCAGTGGCAGTTGGAATGGAAAAAGCAAAATTGCATGATGTCCCTCCAAAACACATGTAAGGAGATACAATTTTTCAGATGGCCTGGACCTGAGACATATAGGACTTGAAAAGACATAACCAGCATTTTGTTGCTTGCTTGCAGGAACTTAGTATCTGTCTTGTATTGAATATACACCAGGCATGGGCCAACTTTGTCCCTCCAGGTGTTTTAGGCTCCAACTCCCACAATTCCTAACAGCCTACCCACTGTTAGGAATTGTGGGAGTTGAAGTCCAAAACACCCAAGCTGGCCAATGCCTTGTATGCACCATAATCTTTCAAAGGTCCATACAATCCAGTTTTGTCAACACTGACTGGCATCTGTGGCTTTCTAAGGCTTCATATACGCTCTTTTCCTAGCACTATCTTATTTATTTATCTTATTATTTATCTATTTATTTATTATTTATTTCAATTATTTGTACCCTCATCCTTCTCAATCCTCGCAGGGTGACACAGGGTGGCTTACAGCCCGCAACTATTCGATGCCCCTTCATACATGTTAATTATAAGTAAATAAAAACATGAAATTAGTTAAAATTAAATCAATCTAATATAATACTAGCTGGTTAGCTAGTATTATCTAGAACTGAAATTCTGCGACCAGTGACACAATCAGAAGCTTGCCCATAGTCCATTTTCCATAGCATTGTCATCATTGTCATTGTCAGCCTGCTACCCGAAGGCCTGGTCCCACAACCACGTTTTCAACTTCTTCCTGAAGGAAAGGAGGGATGTAGTTGACCTAATTTCACTGGGGAGCGAGTTCCACAGGTGTGTGGGGGGGGCACCACCGAGAAGGTCCTGTCCTTCATCCTCGCCAAGTGTGTTTCGACAGAGGCGGGGTTGAAAGCAGGGCCTCCCCAGAAGATCTTAAACTCCAAGTTCAACAGTGACAAATGCTAGATATTCCACTTAGGCAGAAAAAATTAAATGCAAAAATACAGAATGGGGGACACATGGCTCGAGAGCAGTATGTGTGAAAAAGATCTTGGAGTCCTTGTGGACAACAAGTTAAACATGAGCCAACAATGTGATGCAAAAAAAGCCAATGGGATTTTGGCCTGCATCAATAGGAGTCTAGTTTCTAGATCCAGGGAAGTCATGCTACCCCTCTATTCTGCCTTGGTCAGACCACACCTGGAATACTGTGACCAATTCTGGGCACCACAATTGAAGAGAGATATTGACAAGCTGGAATGTGTCTAGAGGAGGGCAACTTAAATGATCAAGGGTCTGGAGGACAAGCCCTATGAGGAGCGGCTTAAAGAGCTGGGCATGTTTAGCCTGGAGAAGGCTGAGAGGAGATATGATAGCCATGTATAAATACGTGATAAGAAGTCATAGGGAGGAGGGAGCAAGCTTCCTTTCTGCTTCCCTGGAGACTAGGACGCAATGGATCAATGGCTTCAAACTACAAGAAAGGAGATTCCATCTGAACATTAGGAAGAACTTCCTGACTGTGAGAGCTGTTCAGCAGTGTAACTCTCTGCCTTGGAGTGTGGTGGAGGCTCCTTCTTTGAAGGCTTTTAAACCGAGGCTGGATGGCCATCTGTTGGGGGTGCTTTGAATGCAATTTCCTGCTTCTTGGCAGGGGGTTGGACTGGATGGCCCATGAGGTTTCTTCAAACTCTATGATTCTATGATTCTATGAGGTGGGACATAGCGGGAGATAAGTTTGGACAGGTAAGCTGGGCCGGAACCGTATAGGGCTTTATAGGTCAAAACCAGCACTTTGAATTGTGCTCGGAACTGGACCGGCAGCCAGTGGAGATCTTAAGATCTGTTTTCTCCTGGTGGTCTCCCATCCAAATACTAATAAGATATGAGGAAGATCAAGAACATAATAAGCCAATGAGTCATGCTCCTCCCACATGTCTTATCCATACCCGTTCTTCTCCTGCCAGGTCTTCAGCCTCATCCTCATTGCTGTCTTCTGCTTCGATGCCTACAAAACCTACAGGGCAGAAATGGGATCGGAACAAGGTAAGCAGAGCAAGGGGGGAACTGAAGCTCTGCAACTATGTATGTGCATGTCATGGTGAGAGTCGAGGCAAACATTTCAAATGGACCTTCATACTGGATGTCTCTGATTTCTCCCCTTCCTCTTCTCCTCCTCTTTCTTCCTCCACTACTAGTATTTCTACTTTTTTCCCCACCCATGTCCTCCACCATTTCTTCATCTTCTTGCTCTCCTTCTTTCCTATTCTTTCTCCCTCTCTTCTCCCTTCTTCTGTCTCCTCTTCTTTTTCTCTTCCCTCCTTTCACTCTCCTTCCTTCTCCCTTTCCTTGTCATCTTCTTCCTCTTTGTCCTTCCTCTCTTCTTTTGTCTTCCTCCTCCAATACTATTTTTTCTTTTCCTGCCTTGTACTTCCCTTCATCTTCTTGCTCTCTTTCTTCCCTTTTCTTCCTCCTCCAATTCTTCCTCTTCCTTTTTTTTCTGTCTCCTCCTAACCATCCTTCTTTTCTCCTCCTCCTCCTAACCATCCTTCTTTTCTCCTCCTCCTCCTAACCATCCTTCTTTACTACCCCTGAGGATGCTTGCCATAGATGCAGGCGAAACGTCAGGAGAAATGCCTCTAGAACATGGCCCTATAGCCCGAAAAAACCTACAAGAACCTAGTGATTCCAGCCAAGAAAGCCTTCGACAATACATACTCAACAATGATTTTTCATATTTGCTCTGTAGAAGAAGTAACAATGATAAGACACCTCTCTTTTTTCCTCCTCCTCCTCCTAACATCCTTCTTCTCTTCTCCTCCTCCTAACCATCCTTCTTTTCTCCTCCTCCTCCTCCTAACATCCTTCTTCTCTTCTCCTCCTCCTAACCATCCTTTTCTTCTCCTCCTCCTAACCATCCTTCTTTTCTTTTCCTCCTCCTCCTAACCATCCTTCTTTTCTCCTCCTCCTCCTAACCATCCTTCTTTTCTCCTCCTCTTCCTCCTAACAATCCTTCTTTTCTCCTCCTCTTCCTCCTAACCACCCTTCTTTTCTTCTCCTCCTCCTAACCATCCTTTTCTTCTCCTTCTAACCATCCTTCTTTTCTTCTTCTCCTCCTAACCATCCTTCTTTTCTCCTCCTCCTCCTAACCATCCTTTTCTTCTCCTCCTAACCATCCTTCTCTTCTCCTCCTCCTAACCATCCTTCTTTTCTTCTCCTCCTCCTAACCATCCTTTTTTCATTTTCTCCTCCTAACCATCCTTCTTTTCTCCTCCTCCTCCTAACCATCCTTCTTTTCTCCTCCTCCTAATCATCCTTCTTTTCTTCTCCTCCTAACCATCCTTCTTTTCGTCTTTTCCTCCTAACCATCCTTATTTTCTTCTCCACTTTTCTCCTCCTACTTTTCCTTCTTCGCTACTTCTTCAGCCTCTTCTTCATTGTTTTTACTCTCCTTTCCCTCTTTCTTTTTACTACTTTCTCCTTTTCATCCTCTCCTTCTACCACCCTCTTCTTCTTCCTCTTCCTCCTTTTCTTCCTCCAACTGCTTCATATCATGACTTGTAACTCTTTTATCTCACAGACCCAGATCTTGGCTGAGCGAACACGCACACATGCCTTCTTGGTGAATGCTACACATACGGCGGTTGTTGCTTCTGCCCCGCACAAGTTTTCCTTATTTCCGCAACCTCTGATGACTTGATCAAGATCTGATGATGTTCCTATATCTTTGTTCCAAGTTCCACAATAATCCTTTCCTTCGCCTAGTGTTTTAGTTCCCGACCCATTTGTCTGGGAGCAAAAGGCAACACCCAACTGGGATTTCGCAGACACGCACACCAGAGAGGAATATTTGGAGGAATCGGACCCTGGTTTCTGCTGCTGGATGGCTTTTGTATTTAACTGGACAGGTTAAAGCATGAATAAAGGTGATTTTAAGATTGTACAGAATCCGTTTTTTACAACTGTGTAAGTGCAGGACGTGTGCTCACCAGGCTGTGTGGGGTCTGATTGCATGTATTAGGGATGCAATCACATCCACAATTTTAACCACTTCATCACATTGAAACAGGGAAGTGTTTGGTGGAGTAGAGCTCCATTTTGGAATGAAACGTATTATTTCCCTACCTTCATCACACTTCATCACACTGTTAAATGTATTCGTGTTACTCAGCATTCTTTGAGTTTATTTGCCATCATACTTTAAAGATTTGACCCCCATCCACCATCACTCCTTGTGTTCTTTGTTGGGGAAAAAAACCTCCTCTCTTTGGAATGTCAGCTGTTACGTGTCTTTAAGTCCGGAAGCAAGGAAGCAGGAAGGGAGGGAAAGTGGCAATGCACTTTGCCATAGAGAAGGGTGTGGACCTTGGGAAACTATAACTCCCAGGACTGCATAGTATGGAGCTATATTATTTAAAGTGGGCTCCAACTGCATTTATTCTCCACTGCAGAATGTTGTGGACCTTGGGAAACTATATCTCCCAGGACCGCATGGTATGGAGCTATGTTATTTAAAGTGGGCCCCAACTGCATTTATCCTCAATTGATTGCAGAATGGTGTGGACCTTGGGAAGCTATATCTCCCAGGACTGCATAGTATGGAGCTATGTTATTTAAAGTGGGCCCCAACTGCATTTATCCTCAATTGATTGCAGAATGGTGTGGACCTTGGGAAACGATAACTCTCAGGACAGCACAGTATGGAGCTATGATATTTAAAGTGGGTCCCAGCTGCTTTTATTCTCCAGTGCAGATGCACCCTGAGGAGGGTGTGGATCTTGGGAAACTATATCTCCCAGGACTGCATAGTTTGGAGCTATGTTATTTAAAATGGGTCCCGACTGCATTTATTCTCCAGTGCAGCTGCACCCAGAGGAGGGTGTGAACCTTGGGAAACTATATTTAACAGGACTGCATGGCATGGAGTGATGCTATTTCAAGTGGATGCCAACTGCATTTATTCTCCAGTGCAGATGCACTCAGAGGACATGTGGTTCTTGGCAAACTATAGCTCCCAGGACTGCATAGTATGGAGCTATGTTATTTAAAGTGGCTCCTGACTGCCTTTATTCTCTAGAGCAGATGCAATTTAGAAAAGGCTGCGGACCTTGGGAAACTATAACTCCCAGGACTGCATGGTATGGAGCTATGTTATTTAAAGTGGGTCCCGACTGCTTTTATTCTCCAGTGCAGATGCATCCAGAAGAGGGTGTGGACCTTGGGAAACTATATCTCCCAGGACCGCATAGTGTGGAGCTATGACTGCATTTATTTTCCAGTGCAGATGCACCCAGAGAAAGGTGTGGATCTTGGGAAACTATAGTTCCCAGGACTGCATAGTATGGAGCTATGTTATTTAAAGTGGCTTCCGACTGCCTTTATTCTCCAGAGCAGATGCAATTAAGGAAAGGCTGCGGACCTTGGAAAACTATAACTTGCAGGATTGCACAGTATGGAGCTATGTATTTAAAGTGGGCCGCAACTGCATTTATTCTCCAGTGCAGATGCACCCTGAGATTGTGGTGTCAAAGAAAGCGGTTGCAATGAGATTTTGCTGGGTGACCCTTTTGGCTTTGTTCCAAAGCAAAAGCTTCCAAATAAAGTAAATAATCAAGGTTGTAATTTCCCAGATTGGCCACAGGGTGGTGCTATAATATGAGAAATAAAGCCTAGTGATTTCAATGTGAACCTTGTGGGAAGATGCTCGATATGACCAGCAGAGGGCGTACTGTATGTCTCTATAAACCAGAGAAAACATACCTGCTTGTTGTGAAGCTCTTAAAGGCACAGAGCAACAATTCCATTATATATCATTTCAACAGGTAACACAACCCAACCTGCTCTTTACCACCGATGAAGTAAATGATAAATGGAGATTTCAGTTTGCTATTTAACTTTATTCACGACACTATATTAAGCTTTTATTCCTGACGCTATAACTGTGTTGCATCAAAAAATAACAATTCAAAAGGTCATCACTGCTGTGGATTTCCAAGCTCACTCTTCATCATGAAGTTTCTGGAATGGAAGAAGAAGAAGAAATGGTGAAGAGGAGAAAAAGAAGGAGGAGAGAAGGAGATTGCCTACTTCATGCAGAAAGAAAAATAGGCAGATTGTGGCCAAGCTGATAGGAAACACAACACAATGTATTGTCGAAGGCTTTCATGGCTGGAAATCACTGGGTTGTTGTGAGTTTTCCAGGCTGTCCGGCCATGTTCCAGAAGCATTCTCTCCTGACGTTTCACCCACATCTATGGCAGGCATCCTCAGAGGTTGTGAGGTCTGTTGGAAACTAGGAAATTGGGTTTATTTATTCATGTATTTATTTATTGGGTTGTTGTAGGGTTTTTCGGGCTATATGGCCATGGTCTAGAAGCATTCTCTCCTGACGTTTCACCTGCATCTATGGCAAGCATCCTCAGAGATAGTGAGGTCTGTTGGAACTGGGAAAAAGGGTTTATATATCTGACCAGGGTGGGACAAAGGACTCTTGTCTGCTGGAGCTAGGTGTAAATGTTTCAACTGACCACCTTGATTAGCATATAATGGCCTGACAGTGCCTGGAGCAATATACACATATATGGCAAACATTCAATGCCAATTAAACATACAACGTATATAGACATACACAGAAGCTATTTAACTTTTTCTGGCCACCAGGGGAGTTGTCGCTTTCATTGTCCATCTGCGACACTGATGAAGTACTTCCGCATTCCCCGCATGCTTTTGCTGGAGTGCTTTTTGCTAGAGTCTTTTTTTTAATGGCCTCATAAATTAGTTAATTAGCCTCCCCACACATAGATTTTCCTACTTGACAGATGCAACTGTCTTTCGGGTTGCAAAGGTTGACAACAAGCTATACAAAATTGGCTGGAAGCTCATTCTGACCCGGGCTGGCTTCGAACTCATGATGTTCTGATCAGAGTGATCTCAATGCAGCTGACACTCAGCCAGCTGCGCCACAATCCTGGTGCTTTGTAATTATAGGTAAAGGTAAGGTAAAGGTAGTCCCCTGACATTAAGTCCAGTCATGTCTGACTCTGGGGTGTGGTGCTCATCTCCATTTCTAAGACGAAGAGCCAGCGTTGTCCATAGACACCTCCAAGGTCATGTGGCTGGCATGACTGCATGGAGCGCCGTTACCTTCCCGCCGGAGCGGTACCTATTGATCTACTCACATTTGCATGTTTTCGAACTGCTAGGTTGGCAGAAGCTAGGGCTGACAGCGGAAGCTCATGCCGCTCCCCGGAATCGAACCTGCGACCTTTCGATCAACAAGCTCAGCAGCTCAGTGCTTTAACCCACTGCGCCACCGGGGGCTCTTGTAATTACAGTATAATTAAATATTACTATATTGTACAATACCATTATATTGTAATATTATTAGTAATATTACATGTAATATAAATATATAATAGTATCATATTATTAGTAGTATTATATTGCTTTACATTACAATATTATAAATAGTTCATATACATTTTAAATATTATAAATTATAAATATTATAAATTTATAATATTATAAATAGTGTTGGCCAAATGCTAAGTGTTGTGATGCAGGGATTGGCAACATGCAGCCCATAGACCATATGCGGCCTGCAAAGCCATTACTGTGGCCCCCAGGCACAAGGGAAAAATGCAAGCTAGAAAGGTGCTACTCACCTTTCCTCCCACGTCCCGAGTTTTGGCCTTCAGCTTGTTCACTTGGGACTCGGCGATGTCGGCCCGTTCTTCGGCTTCATCCAGCTCATGTTGGACCTTCCGGAACTTGGCCAGGTTGGTGTTGGCTTGCTCTTCCTGATGGAGAAGGACCCAAATCAACAGCATTTACCTGGAGAACCATTTGTGTTTTCACCAAACGTTTTGCAGAAAATGAACGAATAACCTACTAAGTTTGGTAGAATTCAATCATATTATATAGACTCTGTATTGGAAAGAATGATCAGAAGGCTTTAAAACCAAGTCTTATCACACTTTCTAAACCAGCACTAGTTCAGCTTGCAAGACATAGATGTAAACAGTTGGATCTGTGAAATCTCTGCCAAATATGGGATGACCTTTAATCTGACTAATCCAGTGGTATATGTTTAGCACAGGCATGGGCAAACTTGGGCCCTCCAGGTGTTTTGGACTTCAACTCCCACAATTCCTAACAGCCTACTACAGCTCTCAGAAGCCCCCAGCCTGCGAATGCAGGCTGGGGGCTTCTGAGAGCTGTAGTAGGCTGTTAGGAATTGTGGGAGTTGAAGTCCAAAACACCTGGAGGGCCCAAGTTTGCCCATGCCTGGTTTAGCAGAATATATTTTGATTCAGAAATGAGAAGATACCATGAAATAGGGCTACAGTTCGATCTAGTAGCTCCAGTACTTTTGGAATTGTCTCTGAGAAGGGAAATCGTAGGATGGATCCAAGAACTCACCGCTTCTTCCGCCTGTCTCTTATAGGCTTTGACCTTCAGCTGTAGCTTGTCCACCAGATCTTGGAGTCTCAACAAATTTTTCTTGTCTTCCTCTGTCTAAACAAGAAAAATAATGCAAGAAGAAGGAGAAGCAAAGCCTTGAGTTCCATCTACATATCATATCATCCACATATCATATCAAAGCATCCATCTACATATCTTACTTACTTAGGCGATCCCTCGCTTTCCGAGGATGATTGCCTTCCAGTGTTCTTGTGGGTCCGTATGTGGCTGTGGAGCCCTATTCTTGCTCTGCATCTTCTTCCGCAGTGAGGGCATTGGTTTCCAGGTGGAAGGCGGTCCCGGTCGGGGTTGGCTTGACGCGCCTTCCTCTTGGCACGTTTCTCTCTTTCACCCTCCACTCGTGCCTCCTCGAATTCTGCAGCACTGCTGGTCACAGCTGACCTCCAGTTGGAGTGGTCAAGGGCCAGGGCTTCCCAGTTCTCAGTGTCTATGCCAGAGTTTTTAAGGTTGGCTTTG